CAGGTGGGAGATGGTGCAAGAAGCCAGCAGCATGAGGTGGCAACGCCGTGGGTTCATGACTGTATCATAATGGAAGGGGTTGCAGATGGCTACCAGCCGGTCTATGGCCATAGAGGCCAACAGGTAACTGTCGGTATTTGCAAAGGCCATGAAAAAATACATCTGGACCAGGCAACCCACGAAGGAGATAGCCTTGGTCTCTGATAGTAAATTTGCCAACATCTTGGGCACAATAACTGTTGTGAAGCAGATATCTGTGAAGGACAGGTTGCTGAGGAAAAAGTACATGGGGGTATGTAGTCGGGAGTCAGAGTGGATAACCAGAATGATGAGTAAATTGCCCATGACAGTGACCAGGTACATGATGAAGAAGATGGCAAAGAGTGGTTTCTGTAGCTGAGGGTTGGAAGAGATGCCCAGGAGGATAAAGCCTGAGTTGCTGCTGTAGTTCTTTGTCTCCATGTCTGTGCCTTCATGGACAGGGTGTGGAGAAGCAGTTGGAGAGACATGATAGGTGATTTCATCAAGTCACCTTCCTCCCTAATCACTAGTTGTAAAAAAGCCCATTATTTGTTCTGATTTTAAAGAGTATTTACTTCAAGACATTCTAGAAAAAGAGGGAGTAAAATCCATTAAGAGAAAAATAAGAAAATTCCAAGCTGCTTTTTCTATGAGAAACTAAGGTTTTCCCAAGTGTCCTTAGGTAATTTTTAAAAAATTCTTTTAGCCTAATTTGTCTGAGTTTCCTCAATTCTCTTTTTCTTTTCAACATCTTAATTTAATTTTATTTTTTCAGTGTTCCAAGATTCATTGTTTATGCACCACACCCAGAGCTCCATGCAATACCTGCCCTACTTAATATCCACCACCAGGCTCACCTATCCCTCCAGCCCCCTCCCTTCCAAAAACCTCAGTTTGTTTCTCAGAGTCCACAGTCTCTCATGCTTCATCTCCCTCTCTGATTTCCCCCAATTCACTCTCAATTATCTTTCTAAATAATTTTTTTGATGAGTCAAAATTTATTGAACACTTCTATTTGTAAATTAAATAAACATGGTAAGAACAATATTCTGGTGGCTGTCATAGCGATAACACTGACAATGGAGTAAAAAGCATCTCACTGTTTTCTCCCAGTCTAATATAAGAGACATTTTCTTTAACTGAACCTTCAGTGTAACTAGAAAGTGGAAATGGCACTTTTCTCCAGACTCACTGAGGTATAATTGACCAAATTGTATATATTTAAGGTGTGCAACATGGTGAGCTGATATATATGTACATGGCAAAGGACATTTGAAGAACAGGAAAAAGAAAGAAATTTAGCAGAAAGTTTATATAAATTTGAGAATATGGTGCTTTAAAAACAGATATCTGTTTAAAAATTTCAGCGAGGGTCATAGTCTTTAGGTTGTTTCTTGAGCAATTCTTTAGAGAATTTTTTTAGAGAATTTAAAAAAAATTCTTCATCCAGGGGATGACTTTATATACAGGAGTTATTTTGAAGATTTTGTTTATTTATTTGACAGAGAGAGAGAGAGATCACAAGTAGGCAGAGAGGCAGGCAGAGAGAGAGGGGGAAGCAGGCTCCCTGCTGAGCAGAGAACCTGATGCAGGGCTCAATCTCAGGACCCTGAGATCATGACCTGAGCTGAGGGCAGAGGCTTAACCCACTGAGCCACCCAGGTGCCCCTACATGAGTTATTTTGACTAAAAAACTGTGAAACCCTCATTCTAAACATTTAAATATTCCCAGAATAGAAAACTTGGACTGCAAACATCCCATGCCACCAATTAGGAGAAAGACAAGGTAAGGATGACCTCTGTTACCACAATTAAGCTGTAGTGCTCAGATGATAGTGTAGGCCTGTGAAAAATTAAAATTAATGAAATAGACATAATATTTAACTTGTCATTATTTTTTAGCTGACTTGTTTGGCTATCTAGAAAAATCCAAGGTACTCATCTGAGAACTTTTAAACCTATGAAGAGTTATCAAAGTGGCTAGATATAAGATATCATACAAATATTAGTATTTATCCTGTAATAGAAAAAATACAATGGAGGAAAACATTTCAGTTGGAAATGGCAAGAAAGTCTAAATAGCCATTGTAGTGCCTGCATTGACCCAGACCTTCTGTCCCTACATGGACTGGCAGTGTAGCCCCCCAGCCTCACACTGGTGTAGGGTGTGAGAGCCTATGCTCCAGTAAAGAATCAGGCCTCATTGGAGACAGTCAAGCAAAGGCTGGAGAACTAACTTTTCAGAACAAAAAAGAAAGTCATGCATCAGGAAAGATATAAACATACCAAAAGCATAAGGGAGCATTCACATGGTGATGGGTATTAAGGAGGGCACATGTTGCATGGAGCACTGTGTGTTATACGCAAATGGTGAGTTTTGCAGCGCTACATCGAGAGCTAATGATGTAGTGTATGGTGACTAACATAACATAATTTAAAAAAAAGGAATCTTAACAGATTGATGAGGATTTCTGGGATCCAACTACTGATGTCCCTTTACATGAGATAATAAATTATCTTCCTCCTTAAAACAACACAAAACAAAACAGAAAACAAATACCAGAATCTGATCAGACCAAACAGTTTAAAGAATTTCTTAGAACTTAAAATAAACTTACAGAAACCCTCTGTTGGGACTCTTGTTAAAGACATCACAACAAGAGAAGCAAAACCTGAGGAGACCACCTGATCAGAACATTGCTGACAGAAATATTTGAAAATGACATAAAGTATATCCATGAGATTTCAGGAATATCATATTTAGCTGAATGAGGCCCTGGCAACCAAAGCAGGACCTCTTGGCCAATCAGGATAGAGAAATCCTGATGGATGGACTTTTTTTTTTGTAATTTTTTATTTCTTTTCAGCGTAACAGTATTCATTGTTTTTGCACCACACCCAGTGCTCCATGCAATCCGTGCCCTCTCTAATACCCACCACCTGGTTCCCCCAACCCCCCACCCTACACCCCTTCAAAACCCTCAGATTGCTTTTCAGAGTCCATAATCTCTCATGGTTCACCTCCCCTTCCAATTTCCCTCAACTCCCTTCTCCTCTCCATCTGATGGATGGACTTTTGACGAAAGAAGGCCAGCAGTTGTTGTGATGAAAAAGAGGATTCATCTGCTAGATTCTTCCTCCCTCCCTATTGCCCTTCCCCACTCACACATTCTCTCTCTTTCTCTCAAATTAATAAAAATCTTAAATAAACCACTGTTTCTTAAAAAAAAAAGAGAAAGTCTAAAAATTATTTGGTAGTAAATCTGATAGAAAAAAGTACAAGGACATGAGAACAATCTCTCTGAAGAAAGTGTAAGAGAACTCAAAACGATGTCTGAATAAATGGAGATACTGTCTTAAAAAGGGAAGATTCATTTTAAAAGGGCCAATTCTGAGATTGCACATATAGGTGATATTATACAGTATCTGTCTTTGTCTGTCTAGCATTATGGCCACAAGTTCCATCCGTGTTGTGATTGGCAGGATTTCCTTCTTTTTATTGCTGAGTCTAAAAAAGACAAATTCATAGAAAAAGAGAGTACAGTTGTGTTTACCAGAGGCTAGGATGGGAGGAGTGGGGACATGTCAAACAGAAGGTACAAATTTCCATTTGTAAGGTCAGTAAGTTCTGGAAATCTAATGTAAAGTGTGGTGACAAAAGTTAGTAATATTATATTATATATTTGATATTTGCCTAGAGAGTAGATATTTATTATTTATTTTAGTTGAGATATAATTGACATATGACATTGTGTAAACTTAAGTTGTAAAATGTGTTCATTGGATGCACTTAAATTGCAGTGCAATTACCAGATAGTGTTAGCCAACCCCTCTGTCATGCCACATAATTATCATTTCTACTTTTTCATGGGAACAATTAAGATCGACCACTCTTAGAAAGGGAGAGGTTTATATATAATTCATTATTATTGTCTATAATCACTAGGTTGCATGTTAAATCTACAGGATTTATTCATTTACTGGTTGTGAGTTTGTACCCTTGAACATGTCCCTGATTCCCCCATTCTCCCAGCCCCTCCTGATTGCCATTCAGTTTGAGATAGTAATTCTTAAATGTTCTTGTAAAAGAACTAGAAATGGTAATTATGTGAGGTGGTGGAGATATTAACTAACCATACTGTGGGAATCATTGCACAACATATATCAAATCATCATGTTGCAGACGTTTAGATTACACAATATTATATATGTTGGTTAATCTCAATAAAGCTGTAAGAAAATTCTTCTGGAATTAATAAAATTAGTGTACCTATGATAATGCCCCAAGGGCATTTCTTTTCCCAAGGGCATTTAAAAAAAAGATTTTATTTATTTATTTGAGAGAAAGAGAGACAGAGCTAGTGATAGGTTTATTTCAAGGTATCTTACGGTTTTTGGTGCTATTGTAAATGGAATCAGTTCTCTAATTTTTTTTCTGCGGTTTCATTGTTAGTGTATAAGAAAGCAGCTGATTTCTGTGCATTGATTATGTATCCTGCCACATGACTGAATTGCAATATGAGTTCTAGTAATTTGGGGATGGAGACTTTTGGGCTTTCCACATAGAGTATTTTATCTTCTGTGAAGAGAGAGTTTGACTTCTTTGCCAATCTGAGTACCTTTTATTTCTTTTTGTTGTCTGATTGCTGTTGCTAGGACTTCTAGTACTGTGTAGAACAAGAGTGGTAGAGATAGTGATAGAGATAGCAAGATAGAGATAGCAAGAGGAGTGGGCAAGAGAAGGAGAAGCCGGCTTCCTGCTGAGGAGGGATCTTTGGGATCAGGACAAGACACCTAACTGACTTACCCAGCCATGTGCCTGCCCAGGGCATTTTTAATAGGGCTTAAGAAGGTCATTCTAAAATTCATCTAGAGGAATAAATAGCCTGGGAAAGACAGTTTTGAAAAAAAATTAGAATATGACAGAGAGTTTTTCTTTTCCATTTTTTGGCAGGGGAGGGGCAGAGGGAGAAGGAGAAAGAGAATCTTAAGCAGTGTCCATGCCCAGCACTGAGCCCGACATAGGGCTTGATCTCATGACCCTGAGATCACAACCTAAGTAGAAATCAAGAGTCAGACACTCAACTGACTGAGCCATCCAGACACCCCAACAGAGTTTTTCTAACCAAAAATCAAAGTATGTAATAATGAAAAAAATATGATAATTGTATACAGAGAAAAAAACAGTCAATGAACCAACATAAAGAATTCTGTATGCCTATATTTATAAATATATGTAGATCCTAATCAATAGACATGCTACACCTTTGTAAAAAATAAAGCTAGATTTTTTTCCTGACCCACATAGAAACAAAACCCATATGAACAACTAGAAGTAAAAAATCCACATCTTAATCTATTAGCCAAAAATAAAGGGCATAGTTATATAGTCTCAGGATGTGGATGCCATTCCAATTGAGAAAAAAATGTAGAGGCAAGAATGACAAAACCCAAGTACTCAAAAATGTGAACATGACACCAAAAGAGATCTTTTTTTTTTTTT